ACCAAATACATTGTCCAACTAGGCTAAATAGCCAAATTCCCAAATTATTAGACAGAAGTAATATATTTTCTATGAATATAATAATTTGTAAGATTTTAGTAAAATTCTTATTCTAAGATTTGGAGTCATAGTCTTCAATCCTCAATTAGCATCTCCGTCTTCAACTAGCCGCACAACTACTCCCCAACTACCCAGATCGTCAATCGCAGTTCTTCTCATAGAAACAAGGTCAGTTATTTTACCTCTTTCCTTTAGCCCCTCTTTCAGATTTTATATTGGAATACGCATTATTCTGATTACTTGGGAAGAAATTGAAATGGAAAATCTTGATACCACCAAGATTTCTGTGTAAAGCCCAATTGACGCACCAACAATAAGAATAATTTCCTACTCGTTTTATTGTGAAAAACAGAAAATAAAAGGAAGAGGAGAGGGAGAAATGGGTTCATCGTTTCGAGGCCAATATAGAACAGGAAAGATGGTGTACAGGGAACTTGTGAAAGCGGTGAGGAAGCACATTGGAAAACAAGAACATAATTCCCATTTCACTGATTTCATCAAGCAAGAATTCAGAAATCGTGTCAATTCTGAGAACCCAACAAAATTGAAGCTTGCGCATGATTACACAGTCTATCTCAACAGTGTTCATCATCACAAGGTATATTATTGTACTGCTATACAATTTTTCGGGTTATTGATTTGCCATTTTGATACTACCATTTCTATATCAGTAGAAAATTGGTAGTTTGTTATAGAGATATGGGTTTTACTTAAGAAATAAGGTTAATTAAAGTAGTTTTAGTGGAATTAGCTTAGAATTTCAAGCATAGAGTATGATGGATTAGTATTGTATGTTATGCTGCAAGGATAAACCTTGTCCTGACAGGTTTATAAATATTATATGATTGAATCAACAGAGTGAATTTGAACCAAAAATGAGATGTAATACTCCCTTTTCTTTTGGATAAAAATAAAGAATTATAAAATAGAAGTCTTAAATCAAGGTAAGGTATTTGACCAAATATCATCGTTGAGTTCCTACAGAACCTACATACCCCTTCATGCTTCGAAGCTTAGAGTGCAGTAGTATAATTAAAATCTTGCTTAATTTGCTTCCTTGATTAGTATGAACATTGCTTCTAAGCTTCTTTCTGATCACCTATGTTTTGTACCTATTCATTTGGTCCGTAGTTTTACAATATGATATACAACTTTTGATGCACAATCATGCCTGATTGCTGTATGCTTTCATGCTTTTGTCTTCACCTAATTGGTTTTCTCGTCATCTGTTTTTTACTATATTTATCTATCTTTGTGCGTGTTAGAGACAGGAAACATTTCTTAATCCACACTTTTTGATGCATAACCTGCTTCTCTGGGATGTTTTACATCTTGTTTTAATGTTTCTAGATTACTGTGGCTGAGAGAAATTATTTTTGCAACTGATGGGGCTTCTGCCCCCCCCCCCCCCACCTCCCCACACTCACAACAACACAAGTGCGAAAGAAAAATAACACATTTAAGTAAAATTCCCCTGTGGAACTGTCAAATGAGGGGCAGAAATGTTCTTCAAGAAAAAAATTTCCTCAATGATATCTTGCCACAATTTAATTTGTCGCAGCTTCTCTCTTATCTTTTTCTTCAGTAGTCCTGTTCTTGTCAAATTCACTGGCTCTAATGCTACCTTATGGTTATTCATTGTGGAGAAATGATACCTTTTCTAGAAGGAAGAACTACCTCTGTTCTACAATTTTTTTTGTATTTCTCCAATTCACTGAATTTTTTCTTCTTTGACCTAAATAAGTGTAGTCATTGCAATGCTTTTATATAGTTTCATGTTTAACTGGGCTTTTCCCCTGGTTCAAGGATCATTCTTTTTAGGGAAAAATTCACAACTCAGACTTTATCTATCCCAAAATAAAAAATCAGGCCCCAAGATTTAAAATTGCAAAAATCAGGTTTTTTATTAATTAATTATATTTCACAATTACTATATTAAATTAAATATTTAACTGTAATATAATAAAATTAACCCACCCCACCCCACCTCCGGCGAATACTCTGGTGACCGACGACCACTCCGGCAATTGTTCTTCGGTCACGGCTCAAAAATTTTGTAGGTCACTGNATCAGGTTCCAATGTTTAAAATTGTAAAAATCATGTTTTTCTTGAATTAATTAATTATATTTCACAATTATTATATTAAATTAAATATTTAACTATAATATAATACAATTAACCCACCCAACCCCAGCCCACCCCCACCTCACCTCACCTCACCTCCACCTCTTCTTCGGCGATTGTTCTCTGGTCACAGTTCAAAAATTTTGTAGGTCACAGATTTCAAAATTAGTTGGCTATAAATCAAAATTTTTAGGTCACATGGTCACAGATTTCCAAATTAGTTGGTCACAGATTTTTTTACGATCACAGATTATATAATTTTTTGGTCACAAATAATAAAATAGTTGGTCACGAATTATATTTTTAGTCACAGATTGGCGAATTTTAAGGTCACAGATTAATTTTTAGTCACAGAAAACCAAAATCGCTAGATCCACCATTACTTCTGCACTGTCGCCATGACCACTACCACCGCCTCCACGACAACCATGACAACCAACATCACCACTATCCAAACACCATGACAACCTGTAGTAACACCACTTTACAGCCACACCACCAACACCGTCTTCAATCTGAAACTCACAAACATAAACAAAAAAAGAAAACCCAAAATCTCAGAGATTAAAGGGCCAATTAGTAGTACCACTTCCAGAGGGAACACTAGTTAGTATCAATATTATTTTGATATTGGCAGTGTTGATTCTTTTGAAGAAAAATTAGAGGAAGCCCAGGAAGCATTGGGGATACATTCCCGTGATTATACCTCCGGACCCACTGTGTTGGAGTAAATATCTTCGAATTTTTACTTGGCCTTCTCTTCTGTCTAGTTTTATTTCAAAGATGTTGCTAGCTGTGATGAAGCAAAGCAGGAAATCATGGAGTTTGTTCACTTCTTAAAGAATCCTAAGAAATATTAGGATCTAGGAGCGAAAATTCCAAAAGGTGCTCTTTTGGTGGGCCCTCCAGGAATGGGTAAAACTCTTTTGGCAAAAGCAATATCAGAGTCGACGCTGCTGTGTCTATTGCCGGTGGAGACGGGAGGGAGGGAGGAGAGGAGGGAGAAGGGGAAGAGGAAGAGAGAGAAGGGTTTGGGAATTGTGAAATTTGGTGGGGGGTGGGGGTAGGTGTGGGTATATAGATTAATTTAATTTAAAATATCATTATTAATATTAAATGTGAAATTAAAACCCGATTTTTGATTAAAAAAGGTTTAAACCTGATTTTTAGAAAGTTCAAACTAAACAACTGGTTTTAGGTAATTTCCTCTTCTTTTTAAGTAATCTGATAAGACTCAAAAACTGAAAAGTAGAAGAACAGAATTTATAATAAAACTTGATTGAATTTGCAGAGAATTACAAACAAGACAGTAATAGCTAGACTCCTTTTTCCTCACTCAATAATTGCCTGACTTCTTCCCACACTTGCCCCTTTATTTATAGCTATTTCTCTAACTAATTTTCCCCCAGCACATGTTCTCTAATAGCTTCTATTTTCTTTCCCTTCTTGACCCTTCTAGAATATGTAAAACGTATAGGGGGCTTATCAATACTTCCGGGCCTCCAAGACACCTTGTCCTCAAGTTGGAAACTTGGGAAATGTCTAAGTATAGCCTCTGTGGATTCCCAGGAAGCATCGACAGTAGGTAAATCCTTCCATTTGATTAGTACTTCTTCATCTGGCCGCTCGCCCAGAACTTGATCAGGTTCTACAATCCATTCAAGGTTTGCATTAAGGTGTAGTGGAAATAGTTGGCTTGCTTCCGTTGCACCCATTGTTTTCTTCAGTTGCAACACATGGAAGACCGGGTGTATTGTAGCAGCAGGAGGTAATTTCAGACGGTATGCAACCGGCCCTATTAGTTTCTCTACTTTAAATGGACTGAAATATTTGGGCCACAGCTTCTCATTCTCCTTCCTGGCCAAGGAACGGAGACGGTATGGTCGCAATTTGATATAAACTAGGTCCCCAACTGCAAATTGAACATCCCGTCCGTGTCTATCTACCTCTTTTTTCATCTTCTCCGAGCATGAAGGAGATGGGTTTTTAATTCTTCGAGCATAATGTCTTGGTCTTGCAACTGTTGTTCCACTGACTGAAAATTTGTAACCTGTCTGCCATAGCGGATCAATGGAGGGGGATCTCTGCCATACACTGCCCTAAACGGGGTTGTTTTTGTTGAAAAATGAAATGTGGTGTTATACCAATACTTTGCCTATGGAAGCCATGAATGCCAATTTTTCGGCCGATTGTAAGTGAAGCAACGAAGATAGGTTTCCTACCACCTCTGTTTGCCCATCCGTTTGAAGGTGATAGGATGTGTTTCGGCGTAAGAAGGTTCGCACTATTTCTTTGACAAAAACTGCTGCAACCCCAGCCGCTGTGAACGGGTGTTTAAGGGGCACAAAGTGTGCGTACTTACTTAACGATCCACCACGACCAAGATTGAATTGTACCCCCTGACTTAGGTAGACCTTCCACGAAATCCATTGAGATGTCCTCCCAAATGAGATGGGGAATTGGTAAAGGCTGAAGCAACCCGGTCGGAGAGAGAGCTACGGTCTTATTCTGCTAATAAACTGGACACTCTGCTACAAACTTCTTTATATCCTTCCAACATAAATCACTGGTGAGCCGTTTATAAGTGAGAAGAAACCCTGAATGACCACCCAAGGTGCTGCTATGGAACTCATGCAGTAGTGCAGGGATTAATGATGACGTGCGGGAGATTACCAGTCGTCTTTTGTACAACAGCCTTCCCTGTGTGATCGAGTATCGCGGGTGTGAATTCGGATCTTCCTGCTGGCCTTGTTTGATTTTGGAGAGCAATGGGTCATGCTCCACTTCAGTGTCAATCAACTATGCATCCAATAACTTTGTGAAAGTAAGGGTTGCTAGTTCGGTAGGTGGGGCAATGCGTGATAATGCATATGCTTCTTTATTCTCTAGTCTCGGTTGGTATTGAATCTCGAAGTCAAACCCCATCAACTAGGTCACCCAATGCTGGAATTCCCCTGGAATAACTCTCTGTTCGAGGAGGTATTTGAGGCTGCGTTGGTCAATGCGCACAATGAACTTTCTTCCCAACACATAGTGATGCCATTTCTGAATTTCTAGCACGATGGCCATCAATTCTCTCTCGTGGATGGACTTTTGTTCAGCTTTTGCCGATAACACTTGACTGTAGTATGCAATGGGCCGTCGGTTCTGCATGAGTACTGCCCCTAGACCAAAACCTGAAGCACCTGTCTCGATGGTGAAAGGCTTGGAGAAATCAGGAAGAGCTAACACTCGGACCGTAGTCATGGCTAGTTTTAACGGTTGAAAAGCTGCCTTTGCTTCCTCATTCCAGCCGAATGAATCCTTCTTTAACTGTTGTGTAAGCGGCTAAGAAATGGCACCATAGCCCTCAACAAATCTTCTGTAGTACCCGATCAGTCCCAAGAAGCCTCGAAGTTCCCGCAGATTACGGGGAGTAGACCAATTAATCATTGCAGTGATTTTGTTCAGGTCAGCGGCCACTCCTTCCGCTGAGACTAGGTGACCCAAGTACTCTATCTGAGGTTGAGCGAAGAGGCATTTCTTTTTTTTGGCGCACAGTTGATGCCTTTCCAGTGCTGTGAAGACGATGTCCAAATGTTGTTCATGCTCGAACACATCTTTACTTTATACTAGGATGTCATCGAAGAAAACCAAAACGAATTTCCTCAAATAGTTTCTGAATACCTCGTACATCAGTGATTGGAATGTTGCCGGGGCATTAGTGAGGCCAAACAGCATCACTAGAAATTCATGGTGCCCCTCGTGAGTCCTGAAAGCTATTTTATGCACATCTTCCTTCCGAACTCTAATTTGATGGTAGCCCGACTTCAAGTCTAACTTCGAGAACACTGATGCACCATGGAGCTCATCCAATAAATGTCTATTACTGGGATTGGGAATTTGTCTGGTACCGTTACTTTGTTCAATGCTCTGTAGTCGACATAAAAACGCCAACTGCCATCTTTTTTCTTCACCAGCAGTACAGGACTAGAGAATGGACTGATGCTCGGCTAACTTCTCGATCTCATTTTTCTGAAAATGCGGGTACCGAAAGGGCTGGACACTTACTGGTTCCGAACCGTCTTTCAAGAGGATGGCATGCTCGATATCTCGAGCTGGGGATAACTCTCCTGTCTCTACAAACATGTTCCTGTGCTGCTGCAGTATCCTCACTACTCCAGTGGGTGGGTCTACTGCCATTTTCCTCAGTTTCCCCTCTATACGTTCATCGTCCAATTCCACCCACACCCCTTGCCCCTCATTCTGCAATGTCTTCACCATAGTTTTCACGGATATCCTCGATTTATTCAATCCCTGATCGCCCT